CACTCCAGCCTGGGTGACAAGATCGAAACTCCATCTCCAAAAAAAAAAAAAAAAAAAAAAAAAAAAAAAAAAAAAAAAAAAAAAAAATCTTACTACTTTTTAAAGTTAAATATTTACTATGAGTTACTATAAACATCATGTTATCAGTTTAGATTATATCTTGAATATATTTTAAACATTGAAACATTAGAGAAATAGATACAAAGAACTGTTAGCACAATTTTTTTCTTTCTCTTTGTATACACCTCCAGCTGCAGTAGCACATTTCAATGAAAATTCATATTTTTCAATAGACGTACATTTCTTAAGTATAAAAATAATAGGTCTTTAATAGAAAAGAAAGGGTTAATTAGTTACCAGGCTTAGAGATTCAAATCCATATTGAATCAATGCTTATTTTCTTGAGCCTTGATTTGGAAAATGTTACTGATTTCTTTTTTTACTCCGGTCTTCTTTATTTTATATAGTTAGATCCTAAAATACAGATTAATTTTAATCTTTAATTAAATTTAATTTTCAACCTTTTTAACTCAGTACAAAAAACCATATATACCATGAATAATTGCAAATTCTGATTTAGCATCCAGAGATAGCATGGCTTTATCTGTTGGTCAAGGGAACAGCAATCACAATCTTAATATTTTCTAACTGGTCCAAATACACTTTCCAAACATAAATAGTTACAGGGTTGTATTAATCATTAAACTAGTTCTTAAATATTGTAATGTCTACCCAAAGTTCTCTTCTTAAAAAGTAATTTATAAAAATAGTATGTGTTTATTTCAGAAATTCAACAGAGAAGTATATAAGGCAAAATGAAAATTACTTTTAAAATTTTTCTTATTTCTCCAAGAAAAAGGGAAAATCATACTTAATTGCCACCCATAGTTTCCTGTTTCTGCCCCCCATCTCCAACACTTTCGCTTCTTGGAGAGAGTCGTTGCTAAGCCTTTAGTACGTATCCATCAAGAGCCATTTTGTAATACCTCTGTGCCCTTGCTTGTTAGCAGTTCATTTACTGTGTGATCCTTTTCTTTTGGAGGCCCCCATACTGGTTGGTGGTACCTTTGCCTATCATTATTGACTCGTCAGCACTATCAGTAGTGAGCAGTGCATGTGACCATGAGTCAGACTTGTACCCTGGCATCAGGTGGTTTTCAGTGTAGTAGAAGACAGATGTATGTATTCAGTGATAACTATAAGACAAGATGAAAGAGACGTAAGAGAGGAACAGATGAAGTGCAGTGGGATTCGTGGGGTGAAAAAAATACCTTAGATTGGCCAAGAGGTGATATTTGAGCCATACCCTGAAAGATAGATGAGATTTGCACTGGGGATGGGGGAGGAAAATAGTCAATGTACTTGTAAGAGAAAGGTACAGAGATGCAAGGAGTTTAGTTATTCCATTTTCCTAGGTAGTAGCATGCATATGTGGGAGTAGCAGATGCAGAGGTTGTTTGGGGAGGACTCTGAATACCTCTATAATAAACCTTTGAGAATTTCTGAACAGGATAATGAGTAGAGATGTGCTTTAGGAATATTAATCAGGCATTGGAGGGGGTACAGTGTCATCACAGGCTTTGTAGTCACTTGGAAGAAAAGTTGTCACAATGAGTTGTACTGGGCAAAGAGCTATTGTTTAAAAGGGACCCGTAGGTCTTAGCAACTAAGACATACCTTATTTTACATGCCAGTAAGGGAGACAAAACACCACCAATTAATTTTAAGATATCACCAATTATAAAATGTGTCCTGACTTCAGAGATCACTATAATGAAGAGAAATATATATTATAAAAACAATGAAGATTATTGGATCTTTGTATGGGCACAGGAAAAAGATGAGATATGTAGGAAAGAAAGGAGAGAGTTGAGAAAATGAAAGGAAGGGGAATGAGATCAAAGACAAAAGTGGAGAAGTTGACCTTGAAGAGGAGGAGAATGCATGTATCTTCCTCTACCATAAGACAGAAATGAATGAGTAATGCTCAGGGCAGTATAAAAGTTGAGAAGCCAAGCAGTTAACTCATGTTAAATAATCTCCGTCTTCATAAGAGAGAAAGCAAGGTCATCTATCAAAAGTGACAGTGGTAGGTTTAAGGGCTTGGGGTAAAAGCGTGCAAAGGTTTCAAGTAAGTGGGGTAGGAAAGATGGGATAGGAAAGGCAATTGGTTAGAAAAGACCAATAGGGGAATAGAATTCCCAGCAGAAATGAGGGGCCCAATTAAGGTTGAAAAGTGTGGATGTATTATTAAAAAAAAAAAATTGGCCCTATTTTATGACTTTGTCCAGGAACACTTGATCCCCTGAGAGAAGGATGGAAGAAAACAAATGGAAATTGCTTTCTGCAGGGTAGGAGATTGGCTGGACAGGTATGGTCGAAGGACAGAAAAGCTAAACAGTCTAAGTTTCTCCTAAGGGAAACTGTTGATATGGCATGCCATCGAGTTCAGGCTAAGAAATGAGAGATGAAGCCCAAAAAGGAGTGAGAAATAGGTTTTTTTTTAAAACTGGGGGGTGGGGGGATTAAGGAGTTAGAGATAATGAAGGAGGTGAAGAACAAATTCTTTTAAAGAGGAGACATAGATAAATAGAAAGTTGATTGGGGAATTTCAGAATTTAAGATCATGGAGGTAGAATTTCAGGGGGTAAGCCTTAAAGATCAAGTGCTGTCTTTCTAAAGCACAGAGGGGAGTAGATCTCTGTCTGTCTCGGAAACCTCTAAGGCACCTTGTTTAGTTCAGTATGAAGTCTTTACTTCTTGGAGCAAAGGTCTTCACAAGCTGCCCCATCCCACCTTTCCAGGCCAGTACCTCATCGTTGCTTCGTACAAGCCCCATGTTCTGGCCACATTAAACTCTTCTCTCTGCCCAGAATCCTCAAAAGCTTTTATCTACCATTTTGCCTTTGCAAGTGCTATTCCCTCTTATATAAAATGCTCTTCCTCCTCTTCTCTGCCTTGCAAGGTCCTGTGCATCCTCTAGACCTAATTCAGACTACATTACTCAGCGATGCCTTCCCAGGCTCCTGCCAACAACACGGAGCATGCCTTCATCCGTGCTCCCTAAGCGTTCTGTTCATAACTCCTATGGCATCTCACCACAGGGTAGTGACTGATATGTTTCTCTCCAGTAGACTGAGAACTCTTTGAAGTCAGAAACTATATCATCTTTCTTTACCCACAGTGACAGGCACATATTAGGTACTTAGTGTCTGCTTTTCGTTTTCATTGAATTTTGTGTAAATGAACTAATCCAGTACATCTCTGAAGTTCTAACCTGTGCATTTAGGTAACCTGGAAATCTTGTTAACATTCAGATTCTGATTAAGTCTGAGGTGGGGGTCTGAGGTTCTGCCGTTCTGACAGGCTCTGAGGTGATAGCGTCGTGTTGGGTCTCAGAGTTCATCCACAGTATCTGTGCCTAAGTAAATAGCAGATGTAGAGCAGAGATGAAGGCCATTAGAAATGTGGAAGTGGAGCAGGCATGAAGGTAGTGCCTTGGAAAAATCCTCAGTATGAACACTGGAGTCCCAGAAATGACAGCAAAAAATCCTGCAGGAAGAGATGCTCAAATAAAGCAGAAGAGCATGGTGGAGGGTGGAGGTTGACCAGACTGGGAGGATATAGCTATATGACTTCAGGTGTATACAGGAAAAAGTGGTTATGTGGGGCCAGCTGCTGTGAGTCACGACTGCATCAGGTGAGGCACCACTGAGGTTAAATAACCGCAGTGAAGGCCTGCCCTCCGAGGAGGAGTGCTGGTGAGAGGAGTAGTGTTAGGAGTTGGGTTTGCAGGTAATCCTCAGGAAGGGCCAGGGCCTCCAGGGCTGTTCACAGTAGGATGGCATTTCCACCAGTGCAGACAGGAGTGCTGAAGGCAGAAGAAAGGCTGGATTACAGGGAAAGGGAAACCCCTGAAGAAATGATAGGTGCTAGAATTTGACAGGGGCTGATTTCTTGATTGGAAGTCTCCAAGCTGAAAGCATGGAAGTTCTTTTTTAAAACTCGTGGGTGACTGAAAAAGCAGCACTAATAAGCATTCTGTTCCCACAGGTCTGAGAATTCTAAGGATGGGTTCAGTAAACCTGTTCTTTTTTTCAAAGTACTATTATATTTTAAAAAGTTCAAAGGTAATACATACTTTGTTAATAAATGAAAAAGAAAATGTTTAACATTTATTTTAACAAATAAAAAATGTTTAAACTCCTCCCACTAAGCCCGCTCCCCGCAAATCAGTAACTGGTATTTAAGCTTACTCTGTACTCTTCCAGCTTTCATCTATGCAAACTTACATATGTAAAGGAATTTTTAAATTCTGTAGTATTTTCTCCTATTGGTATAAAACCATACTGAAAATAATGGTATTTTCAACATTATTCTGCAGATAGTTTTCCTCACTTAGAAATCTGTCATAAACATCCCTGCAGGTCAGTGGACAGAACTCTAACTTATTTTTTCCCACTAGTTTTAAGTAGCTGTGTATAAGTATAGAAATCCCAAATTTGTTCTGCCATCTTCCTATTGATGGACACTTGGGTAATTTCCAGTTTTTGCTACTACAAACAATTTGACAATTTAAAAAAAAAAGTCTTATTGTTGCCAGTGCCTAAAAAATGTGACTTGAATCAGTCACACATATCAAAAATAACTATATAAACCACATCTTTTAATGAAGCACAGCAGTGTGTAGACTTGTTCTGTCTCATATAATAGCCTCTAGTCACATGGAGCTAAACTTAAATTAGTTAAAATTAAATAAAATTCAAATTCCATCACTGACAGTAGCCTCCTTTCAAGTGCTCAGTAGCCATTTGTGAGTTGTGGCCACCATACTGACCAGCATAGAAGATTCTGCTCTCACAGAAGCTTCCATTCGACAGCCGGGACCTAGACACTTGAGTGTGGCATCTTACAGAACCATATTTTTCAGCGAGTTAGTATTTCAATAAGAGTACGTTTGAAAAATAAAAACTTTGTGTCTTTATTGGTTGCCTCTGCAGTTACTTCAATGAGAATCAATACCCAGATGAAGCAAAGAGGGAAGAAATTGCAAACGCTTGCAATGCAGTTATACAGAAGCCAGGTAAGGTCCCAGGCACAGCCTTGCTCTGCGGTGCAGCACAGCGCCTGGTTACAGGTCAGCATCTAGGACGCTCAGTCTCATGTGCTCCTTGGCATGGTTCTTGCAGCTCAGTGTGTGCCATCCTTCTGCAAGTGGCCAGTGCTCTGTCCTGCTCACACAGTACTTCTGAGGGATGTTTTTATGGTACTCAAAATCAAATGCTAACACTGGAGAGTTTTCAGGGAGTAACCCTACGTAAAATATGAGACCTTGAAATTACTATTTTTTTAATGTGTAGATTTCTTTTTCTAAGAATTTAGCTAAAAGATATTAATGATGAAATAATGTTAAAGTTTTAAATATTTAAGCAAGCTTTTTCAATATAAGATTAAGATAGGCTTTTTTGTAAACAATTGTTATAAATTATAAAATGCTGTATTTCTCTTTGGAGAAAGAATTCTTTTCAATGTGGAAAGCAGATAGAAACGCAGATAGATGGTTTCTATCTGCTTTCAACATTGAGATGATTCTGCTTAGCTAAGAGAGATTTGGGGCAGTACCATTTTGAAGTCCTGTTGTTCCAAGATCAGCAAACCTACTTAAATATTTCAAATGTACTTTCTTCCTTGTGATAAAATGTTATTTCACATTTTACAGATTTTGTTAAACAGAAACCATTCTTAGTTAATAGATCCAGTTAACTTCCATGTGGCCAGTTATTTTGATTGGCTTAAAGGCTACATACAAAAATATCAGTGTTTTATAGAAATTAAGCAGACCTTCATTCTCCCTCACCCAGAAGCCAGACTTCTAGCAATGTAGACCCTACAAACTCTGCTCCAGTGACACACAAGTGAAAGGAATCTGTACCCTGTTTCAAACATGCCAAAAGTCCCCCCACTAAAGCTGTGCAGAAATTTGAACTCTCCCTGGAACATTTTACCCCAGTATCATCAAGGCCCTAACAAACCTGCTTTCTGGTTTCTTCACCCACTGTGGATTAATAGCCGAAATGCAAAAGGAAAGGTGAGGAGGGACTGTTACAGGGGGGTCTGTATTAGCAAGCATGATACTATTCATAAAAAAAATCACATTGGACTTCAAAGATGGTAAATCTAAAATGTAACCTGAATGGTGCTATGTATTCCAACCCAGTTACAATAATGGATAGTCACAGCGGCCTTCAGCCTTTAAGGCACTATGTATAATATCTATCCTCTGTCCTAAGATAGCAGGTAACTAGTTAACATAAGGCCTTAAAGATGTAAGTAAATTGCTCTTGTCTGGATATGTGATAAAGAATAACTCATCTTGGGCCAGTGTGGTGGCTCATGCCTGTAATCCCAGCACTTTGGGAGGCCGAGTTGGGCAGATCGCTTGAGCCCAGTAGTTGGAGCCTACCCTGGGCAACATGGCGAGACCTTATCTCTACAGAAACCACAGAAGTTAGTCTGGCATGGTGGCCTGGACCTGTAGTCCCAGCTACCCGGGTGGCTGAGGTGGGAGGATCACTTGAGCCCAGAAGGTCGAGGCTGCAGGGAGCTATAATTGCACCACTGCATTGCAGCCTGGGTGAGAGAGTGAGACCCTGTCTCAAAAAAAATTAAAAATGAATAACTTATTCTGCTACAACAATGGTAATTAAATGAAGCCCCCATAGTACTGTCATGCTAACGGGGATCTGGCTCCCTAGCCAACTGACTTTGTGGAAATCTCTAATATGTATGGCTTTCCGAATCGAAGCATGCTGTGTTACTAGTTGTTGCTGTTGTGTTCATTTACATGTTTATTGATTTAATAATTGCGGCGTATACTTGGTACTAGATAATACTTTAAAAATCCCTCTGCATCTATAGTTTTGGCAGAGTAATCAAAAGCAACAAAATAAAAATATTAGCCCTTAAAACTAGTTTATTCTTGGATCCCAAATACAGATTATCTGAATTTAATTGCATGTATTCACAGGTAAAAAACTGTCTGATCTGGAAAGAGTTACCTCCCTGAAAGTATATAATTGGTTTGCTAACAGAAGGAAGGAGATCAAGAGGAGAGCCAATATTGGTAATGTATCAGTGAGGCTGCTTGTCTCTCTCGCGCAGCAGTTTGAACGTCATGTTTATATTACTATTAACTTCAGTTTAGAAACTGCAAGTCTAAAGGATTTTTTTTTTTTTTGAGATGGAGTTTTGCTCTTGTTGCCCAGGCTGGAGTGCAATGGTGCAATCGTCTCAGCTCACCACAACCTCTGCCTCTTGGGTTCAAGTCATTCTCCTGCCTCAGCCTCCCAAGGAGCTGGGATTACAGGCATAAGTCACCACGCCCAGCAAATTTTGTATTTTTAGTAGAGATGGGGTTTTTGCCATGTCAGTCAGGCTGGTCTCAAACTCCTAACCTCAGGTGATCTGCCCCCCTCAGCCTCCCAAAGTGCTGGGATTACAGGCATGAGCCACTGTGCCTGGCTGGATCCTAACTTCTAAGCCTAACAAAAATTGCCCTAATGTCTTTCATTGTATTTTTAATAAACCATAGTTAGTATTATTGACACCATTTATATTGTAATGGTAATGACATGATTATTTATAGAACTCACTGTTCTTAAAATTCTAGAATATAGGATTATACATGACGCCTGATCAATTGATTACTCCTGTGGTCCATATGAAAGATACTTGTTGGGTCTTGAGAGAGGCAATGTGATAACCGAAATTTCTTTATTATTACTGTGTTAGGCCCCATGACTTAGATATTAGGAAACAATTGATTAATGGTTTGGAATGAAAGAGACCTAGTAGACAAGGAATGCAGCAAAAGACAGAGATAAAGAGTATTTAAGAAGTAGGAATTCTTGATGTAATCATCTATATATATATATGTATTCATATGTATCAGAACATCACCTTGTATGCCGTAAATAATAGTTTTTATTTATCAATTATATCTCAACAAAGCCGAGCAGAGAAAAAAAATGCCAGAAGTGCCCTAGGGGGAATTATAAATATAACTGAAAAGAATTTTTTCTCATCTAAAACTGTAACAATAAGAAATTTAAGTGGGTGAGTCAGGTGGGGTGTTGGATTTTAGCTTCTAAGATCACACGAGATTAGGTGCATCGAGCATGGTATGGGCGTAGACAGTGTTTTGTTTCGTTTCTAAATTACACTTTTTATTAATCATTTACAGTTCTCATAGGCTTTATGGAACACCAAGATAGGAGAACTGTGTAGTTAGCAAGTATTTATGAAGTACCTAATACACACAGCAGCAGAGACTCCAGAATGGCAAAGGTGTGCCCCCTCGACCTACATGCACTTGAATTTCAGCCATGTACGTCTAAAAGAAACAAGTGTAGACAAATATAGGGTCTTGTTTAATTACATTCTAATTTCCTCAGCACAAAAATCCAGAGTTTCAGCCATTATGATACAGTTACAGATAATTTAGGGATCTATTTGCTTTTTTCGAAGAAGCAGCAATCCTGGAGAGTCATGGGATAGATGTGCAGAGTCCAGGAGGCCACTCCAATAGTGATGATGTCGATGGGAATGACTACTCTGAGCAGGTGAGCCTCTGCGCATCTGGTCGAGGTTCTTGGTGCCTGAGCAGGGGGACAGTGGGACAGCTCAGTTCCTGGGTGTGGCTGATGGGGTGGGGGAGGGGAAAGAGTCACTGTCCTTCCACACCGCTCCTGTGTCTAGTTAGATTTCATGTAATTTGAAAGGAATGTGGTAAGATTCAGTTGTCCTGTTGAATTTGTGAGAAATCGTTATTCACCCACATGGATTTATTGTCATACAACAGGATACTTGGCAAGTACGCAATGGGGAGGAGGAGGAGGGAAGAAGTTCAGAGGGAGGCAGAGAAGCAGAGAAGGTAGAAGAAGAGAGGAGGATCTGATCCAAACAAGCAAGTTACACCATTCACGACACGCACTCAGTGTTTGAGAAATACTAGGGGCAGCTGGGCCCCATGCCTAAACATGTACCAACGCAGGGCACGATGGAAGGCCCCACTCACTCCAGCCCCACTGCAGTGGGAACCCTCCTGCCCAAAGGAGTGGTTCTTCCAGAGTGTCTCTGGCACACTGACACATGCATCGTCTCATAAGTGCAATACCTGCATGACTCCTTGCCTCGCCCTGATTTATTCTGCATTGCTTTTGGGGAAAATGTATTTAATTGTAGCCACTGCATGGAGTAATTCAGTAACTTAAGACTGGAGGAGTTCCCTCCCAACCCCCACATGAATGTTGACAGATTTCATTACAATTTTGATAGGATTTAAATTTCCATTTGGAATAGGAAGAGAACGCATGGTTTCTTCCCCTAGACCACAGCAAGAAAACTTCTGATTTTTTTTCTGGAATCTGTGCTTTTTGCTTGCTCCCGAGCCAGCTCATATAGTCCAATGCATTCTTTAAAAGCCTCTGCTTATCACACACCTAGAGTGCATGTGAGTCTGTGCTGATCCCTTTGTGAATTCTAAAAACTCATCTGTGAACAGCAGAAGGAAATGATGTCCAAACTTCCGAAAAACTACCATTTTTTTTCCCTTTAGGACTCTACTTCATAGCCCCAAGAGAATATTCTGTAAGTCTTTGTGTTCAGAAACATTCCTGTTATTTTTCAATCCACTCACATAGATGGATCATTTCCATCTTTTTTTACGGATGCCCTAAGAGCAGCACATCCCACGTTTTGTTTTTTGCTTAAGGGACTTACCCTTTCCAAAGCTCTTTGATACAGAGTTCTCCTGAAGATGACAGGGGAGAAATGTACCCTTATTTGTAACACCGACTTCAGTGCCTGATGTACATCCTGCAATGCCAGCTTCCTTCACAGCTTTATTGTTTAACACATTGAGCTGCGCGGGGAGGAGAGCTTCACACTCCTTCTAGGTAAGACGCCTGCCGCTCCCCTCACACAGCTGCCTCCAGCAGAGAGTGCCGCACCTTTCTCCCTTCTCCCGTAGCCATTTCCAGCAGTGATACTTGTGTCCTGTTATAATTGAGAATTCTTTTTTTTTTTTTCTTTTTTACAAAAATGCATTTTTATCTGTAAGATGTAATTGTAAGTTTGTCTAGTTTTCTCAGTTCAGTAGAGAGATACCATGAATTCTAATAATCTATTTGTAAGAGCAGCAATCTGGAATTTAATAGCCCACTAGTATGGCCTTCAGTGATTAGTGCTATATTTGTTGCAAACAGAAAGATCCAAATTGTTGGTTTTATATCAATCACTGCAGGTTTGATCATCACCACCAGCAATCTTTCTAATAGAATGAATAGAATTATCAACTGAAAATCTTTGGACCTATATCCATTCAGTGTCTACTTAAATACAATTCACCTCTGTTCTATCATGATCCCCTCCCCCAGTTTCCTCCCATGAATGTTCTGCCTCCCCTTGCCCCAGCATGTATTTCTGTGACGAAAGAATTCTACCAATCTACTAATAACGTTTGTTTCTTATTTCTGCACATCTAGGATGACAGTACGAGCCATAGTGACCACCAAGACCCCATCTCATTAGCTGTGGAAATGGCAGCAGTCAACCACACTATCTTGGCATTGGCCCGACAAGGAGCCAACGAAATCAAGACAGAGGCCCTGGATGATGACTGATCAGGGAGGTTAAACACGACAAGTTAACTTAGTTTAGACGTAGCACCTTAGCAGACTTTCCTCGGTCCTTAACATGTGTTCTTACAGTATAACTTGCAGTTTCTTGTATGTCAGGTAGCCGTTAGGGTCTTGTTCTGTGAAGATGGCATGGTGCCCTCAGCCTTTGCATATACTCTCTCAGTATTAATTCCCAGTAAATAATAACCAACCAACCAACCAAACTTCCCTCTCCCAGCCCCCGAGGCTAGAAAATCTTGCTGCTCCGTCTTAGCATTCCAAGAAAGTGCTTCCAGGTATTTAGATAGCCCTCAGTTCTCAAATATTAGGCTACGTGTAAAATCTTGGGTACCTTTAGATTCTTGTAACACTAGTCTGTACCCCCTTTTCCTTCCCCAAGACTGATAGGATGCAAGCTGAGGTCGTGGCACAGGAATGACAGACACCATTTGGGGAGTATCCACAGAGTCAGAGGAACACTAGAATCCCCACCTCAGCATGAGGATAATTGATTTCCAGCTGCAATAAGCCGTGCCTCATAGCCACCTGTGGCTAGATTATACTTCTTGGGTGCTGTGCTAAGAATGTCAATGGAAAAAGTCAATCTCACATTTTGTTTGAAGTTAACATGCCTGACACAGACATCCTTTTCTCTCACAAGCTGTGTGACTTAGTAGATAAAATACTGCCTTCTGCCTTTGGGACCATGATTAAAAACAAAAACAAAAAAAAGACAAAAACTAAAAGTCATAAAAAAAAAAAAACCCAGCTTGAGAGCATTGGGAAAAACATGAGCTGAATGTCTAATGGATGCTAGAAGTCCAGTGTTCAGAACCACTGCACATTCCGCGGCACACTTAGCAGTGCCTGCCTGGAAAAGTTTTGGAGGTCATCGTGGAAGTTGCTTTGCCTCCTGTCGGTGTCCCTTTTCCCTGCTACCAAAAAAGTCTTTTTCAAGGATGGAGCTAAGGTCAAAAATGAGTGAAAAAACTTGCAGTGTTTGTATCTATTAAACTGAAGCCCCCTCAATCTGAGAGGTCGCTAGAGGACTTCATAGTGGGGTCGTGCTGCCTGTCTCAGATGCAGACGCTTGCCCAGATAGGAGCAGAGAAAAGCAGGGACGCTTCCCACTCACATTGTGGCTGTACCAGAACGACAGGATGGGACTGCTTTGCTGTTCTCTTTACTCTGTCCTTGGAGAGACGTGAAAAGCTGTATTGCTACAGGCGATTTATTTAATAATTGGAAGCCATATTGATAATGGATGTGGTAATATTTGTAAAGTTTAATCTACTTTAAGCGGCAGTAACTAATGGAATTTTTTTCCTTGATCACATGTAGCACTTTTGTTACTTTTTAAAGATATTTATATTTGATAAATCTTTTTTTCATTTTGAGAACTCAAAAATACCAAACAGTGAACTTGTGTTCTAAAGTCACCCTGTGATCACCTTGTCATCTAGTAGCAAAATGATGAACTATTCATGCATCAAAGAAAATTACATCTGCTGGCCTTGTACGAAAATGATCTCTTGGCATCCCGATTAAATGACACACTGTCACTGTGGGTATGAGGAAAGAGCCTTCAATGTAGCAGCACAGGGTGCATCTGAACGAGGCACAACTGCTATGTATTTTCTGCCTCATCCGGTCCCTCCTGTGTAGAATGAAGCCGTGTTTAAAGGGGACTGTGGGGCTGGCTGTTACGCAGGGCTTCTTTCTGTCCATTACCTGAAAACTATTTCAAAGACAGAAGGAAGGTGCCATTTCCTTACCTCTTCAGCCATCCTCTTCCACCAAATGTATTCAACTTAAAACTATGAGAGACTGAATGACCTTCCTCGATTTTCCCTTTCTCATTCAGGAGATACTGAGTATCTGCCAGTTTCTATCTGAACTTTTCCCACTTCAGGCACATGCTGACCACATCATTTCCTTATCTGTTAATCCTGCTTATGTGAGTGTGAGGCGAGTCTTTGCGAGAGCATGAAAGTGCCACCTTATATATGTCTGTGACTATAAAGAACTGTATGCAGGGCCTGGTCCTGCTCTTGTCCATGGATTTCAGGGGGAAAAATATATGTACTTTTTCCAGCTTCCAAGCATTGAAGTAAAGCAGAGCCGTCTCTTCTGTTTTACTGTATTACTTGAACCAACAAATTCAAGAGTAGCATTTGTTATTCTCAGGAATGAGCCTCCCTCTTCCCTCTCATATTCTTTCATGGTTTATCTGACTTTTTATTTCAATTAGGAGATTGCATTATCTTTCTTTCCTTTTATTTGGCTTAGAGGAAATATTTCCATTTTGGTGGAATTTTGTCTGCTTATTCTCAATTGAATCGGAAAGAACAAGGAGACAGAAAAAATCCACTCTCTGACAAGCCACATTCATGATTGATTGCAAGGAGATTATTTTAATCGATAGCTTCTTTATGATGGGATTGCTAGTATCATTTGTTCTTGCTGGTCTTTTTAGAGGAACAGACTCAAACTCTTAAGACAGCTGCAGTTGCTAAAGAAATACAAAGATTGCCGTAGAAGCACTAAAAGGTTTCATTGTTTTAACACCTATAAGGGAGGAAAAAAGCTTCAGAGAATAAAGGTGAGTTGGAGTCCATGAAGGGTAGTACCAGGCCCTATCTGGCAATGTGGTGTAACTGAAAGAACATTTGTGCCACTGCAGGAGAATGTCCTGTAGAGCTCAGTGGGAACAGAATGAAGGCATCTTCCACCCACAGTCATTGTCATTTTTGGAGAAGACCCACTGCCTTACATGTCACCTTTGCTTTTTCATCAAGAATGAGAATGTACTTCCTTTGGGCCTAGATTTAAATCTACTGTCGGTTTTCTGTTTGCCACCAGGTTCAATTCTACTGTCTTGTCCAGGCCACCTTAGTTCTTCTAATGGTGTGTGGCACTGCTACACTTAACATTTCTGGTATCTTTAGGTAGTATATTTCTTGTAATCTTTTTCAGGTTTTAGAGGTGGAATTAAAATAGACACCCTAAACTTCCTTGTCACTGAAGAGAAAGCAGCCAGTCTCTTAAAAACTCACGCTGTGTGCTTCTCAGTGTCTGGGCCCCTCCCATCAGACTTCTCTCCCTCCTTCAGGCCGTGGGGACTCCGCAGGGGCGGCTCCTTGCAGTCAGGAACACTTTGAAAAGTCCTTTAAAGTGGTGGGGGGACCTTGCCAACAGGTATTCATATAATTTGTTATTTCTTTAAAGATACTTTAATTGAATTACTATGGTCAGATGGGTGAACTTCCAGCCTTTAAAAACACTGACACAAGGACCTTTTAAAATGGGTCATCTTGATGAGATCTGCCCATCTGTTGATTACCCCAACAGCAGATGAAGGCTGGGGAGGGCAACACCCTGCATTCTCATCTCAAGCCTTCAGTGCCATTCAGTCCCATATGGACATTTTGGTTTCTTTCAGCAAAGTAAAGTTGGAATACCCTTACGGCAATTTCCTTTACAATCACAATTACAGTTCTTTAAGTGGTTAGTAAAGGTAGTTGCCTTCCACCCACTTATGACTTTGAACTGTCCCCACCCCTGTTATTCACAAGGTCAGTCCTCCCACCCCACCCCCATATTCACATTCCCATGGCCCCTCACAGGAAGAAGGAACCTGGGGCAGAGAGGAGGAAAATCACTAATGCTAAAGTGTGCATGTCAAGTTCTCTAGTTCTTGGTAGATTTATGGTGACAGCCAGTTCAGTGATCATCACCACCTATGTTAGGTCCATGTATCCAGATATATTTTACCTCAAAGGACATGACTGAAAAATTCACCAATGTAATTGTTTCCGTTCTGCCTGTTTAATGCTTGTGTTTAAGAAATAATGGCTTTAGACGCTTCTCCCTTGGGTATCAACCACCAGGCACCAAGTATAAACAGACTCATTGGATCAGGAGTTTCCAGCCTTATCCTATCTGTCTGAACAGCTTCTCCTCTGTCTCCCTCTGACTAGGTCTTCAGCTGACTTCTTTGCTGGAATTTTCTAATCTTGTTACATCAGGGAAAAGTAGCTGGGTGTGGTCCATCTCTTCACACAAACACTCCTCGTCTTGACCAGCTACGTATTCCACTGACCAGCGTCACCATCTCTGCCCTTAACTGTGGAAATGATCCCTTTTCCACAAATGCTGTCCCTCCCTCCCGTCTCCGTCCTACAAATGTGAACTCTTAAGTCTTTACTCTCTGTTCTTAAGAGTTTGGTTAGAAGCAGTCTTCCCATTTAATTTGTGGCTCTGCCTTTTAAAATTGCCTTTTGTCTTTTGTTGTTCAGAGAAAAACCAGTGTTTTCTCCCCCGGGTGTCTCCACAGATTCTTAGGCAATAATTTTTCTTGTCAGTGATCCCGTGCTCAGTGCCACCCTACACTGAAGAACCCAACCCACGCCATTGTGCGTTGGTTTCTGTGTCAGTCTCTGTGACCTGAAACATGTCAGAGTGATAATAGACTTTTGTCATTCGTTGTGTTAGTCATGTTTTACTACTGTATTCCTTGGGGCTGCGCTGAGACCACCCAAATCCATTTATAGCTTTGCTGAGCCGGATTGATTTGTCAAGATTTCCCAAGTGAAAGTTGGGCACATTGCCCAGCTCCTGCTGTATCTTTGGGGAGTGTGGCATGGGGTGGGGGGATGTCCTGGGGCAGGGGTGGGAATGACACACAGAAGACATTCCATTTTTTTTTTTTTTTTTTCGTGTACTCCTTAAATAGCAAGGATGTTTCCTTGGGATTGGGTATCATGTCAGCCATGTTGAATTTGGCAAACTGAGCTGCACGCCCTGAACGCGGTCTTACTGTTTCTTCATTTCCGTATTAGGAATACCTGAGTTATCCAATGCCGTGTTCCCTGAGAGTGGAAGGCTTTCCTGGAGCAGCAGCTGCGCATGGCCAGGTCAGCTGTCCGGATGTCACGGTGGTGTGCGGTCAGAGCAGAGGGCCTTCCTTTTCCTGTAATGTGCTCTTACTTCTTTATGCATGCTTGGTTTCAAAGATGACTGTCACTTTAAAAGAAAGATTTCCTTAGCACTCTCCAGAGAACTAGCACACTAAGTTGGTAGGAAAGGCTTCTCAGATGCAAGCCAACAAGTCAGTTTTCTGATGACGGAAAGTCCTCTCACATACAGGTTGTGTTTGGAAAGGCAGTTCTCAGTTCTATTTATAAACTGCAAGTGATAAGCTACTGTCTTGTGACCTCGCAGGCCAGCGGTTGACTCATCTCGGAAAGGTAACTTTGTTCAGATCTATGTGTAATTTTCAAACCTGGAAGTTTGTATATTGAGAGTTTCAGTATCGGCTTTGTTATTCTTTCTTGGTGAGGATTAGAAATGGCAGCAAAAAGCAAGCCAAGAACCTGAAAACTCCAGTCTCCTTTAACAGTGGCATGGTTTTAAATCAAGACGGGAAGAAACACAGGAGGGGAGGAGGGAAGACTTGTCGGCTTCTTATCTCAGTGACGTAAACACCTCGGGATTACAGGCATGTGGATCCCTGAGCCTCTTTTTTGTCATTCTTCCTCTGACATTTGTGGCAGAACTGAATCTAGTTGATTCTGTTCACGTGAAATGTGACAAGCATTTTGACACCATGAGACAGTTGACCACCCACATGCCACACCCATTGGCTGTCTCATCAGCCAGCCTCCTAACTGCACCCAGAGGGGCACAGCTGCAGGGGCGCCGCACCTTCCTCCTCTCCTGACAGTCCTTTCCTGTTGCTGGTCTGCGGGTTGGCCCCGGTCTGGACAGCTGTGTCCGCTGCTGCTCGGCTGCTCTCCATTTGGTCGGTGCGGCCAGTGTGGGGATGCACAGCCCAGCTCACACTTGAGAAGTCTCAGGATGCTGCTTCCCTGGACTTCCCATTTTCATTTTATCTTCTTTTCTTTTAAGTAAGAGTGGCTCTGTATAGCCATAATTAACTCTCCAATTCACATTGGTGTGCTGTGATCAAATGAAGGTTGGGCTGAATCTTTTCAAATTGTAACCATGGTAATTGAGGGGGGTGGCATAGAATGAATATATAAAAATATAATGGCAATTGTTCTGAATGACTGAGTGTCCTTCTGACATGTAATTAGCTGTTTTAGCAGGATGTAGATTGGCATGGTCATAATTAAAAGGATTTCTGTCCTTTATGTGACTGGAAATGGCAGAGCTCCCATCCCCTGTTCCCTTGTAGCACACTAATGCTCCCGAGAACATTTGGAACTGCAGCTCCGTAAACTAAGATAATGACATGGTGCTCGTGTTCTCCCCTTAGTGAAAGAGAAGGATTTGGAGTTGTTTCAGCTTCAAAATGGAAGCCTTTGATTATTGTTCCCCATTTGACTTCTAAGTTCTTTGAAACCTCACTCACATCCAATTCTAACTTGCCTCACCTCTGGCAGAAACCAGAGTCAGGACCCCAGAATGAGCCCCTCTGGCTGGCCCGCTCAGGGCTCTTGTGGGCCTAACTCAAGGACATTGCTGCTTCCTGGGCTCCCTGTGATCTTCATATTTCCCTTGATTGCTTGATATTTCTATTGCCATCACTATCAGAAAGCATTTCCCAAACAGAAATGTACAGAAAATTGAGTTTTCCTCATTGAATCCTAGAACTCAGAGCAGACAACATGACAGGACACATAACTAACACAGGCGTTAGGCAGGCAGGGGCGCGAGGGGAGTACTGTTCACTACGTCTAAAGCTGCTGGACAGCGCGCAGGATGAGTGTCTGCCCACTCCTCTCACACCGCTCTTACTTGGCAGCTGCCCCAGCCACCAGCACTGTGGCCGCCCCGAGTCTTCCCCACTGTTCCACTGTCCCGTGTGAGTCTCTCCCCGGCACTCGAGTCCATGTTTTCTCCCTCCCACTCCTCTCTCTTTGATGCTCCCTGTCGCACGGGACATTGCCATACACGGTCCCTGACCACAGTCCCCTGCTCTTCTCCTGAGGTGTCACACTGGATAGGAGCTGCTGAGTCACCAACTCACCTTTCCCTAGAATTTGGCTTTATTTCCCCATCATTTGCAGCGGTCCTTATTCAATTATGTGATCAAGAGTGAGTCTACAAGAATATCAGCACCTGACACAGTGCCAAATGGCCTTTCGTAATCGGCTTCATACCCTGAGGCTCACACTTGTTCTGGGTGAGCCCAGGACCATGAGCCTTTTCTTTTCCGGGTCTGGACACTCCTGGGTTGGTTAGGCTAGCCACTGGAGAGAATACGGCTCTGGCCTTTCTTCATGTTTTGCTGCTTTTCTTTGTACAAATCTTTCCCTTCCACGTACCAGAAGGAACCCTAACCTAGTTGAAATGCTAGTTGCAATTCGGTCTCATGAGAATGCTGAAATAGGCTGCTGAATTAAAATTAAAATTGTCCTCTTCCCTGAAAACACACACACCTAGAGAATGTAGGGAAAGGCTCTTAGGCGTTGGGAATCTTATATTTTTATTCCCCACAAAATACCTACAAAGAAATGTATAGTATTCCCTCAGTACTCCTCCTCCTGCAAGCTCTAAAAGCAACCTCATTCCCACCCAGCCCCTGCACACCTGCTTGCAAGATCCCTGCATGCAGTCATGGAGACTGTGTTTTTTGGGATCCTATCAGTCTGTATGACAACTGGAATGATCACAGATTTATGACCCCAAAGGGTAGAGCATCCCTTTTCATAATTTCCCAGCTGCTAAAAGATGACTATCTCCATTAGAAATTAGAATCTGTCTTGAGGTTAGAGATGGTAAGAACTGACTGGATGAGTCTAATTCTGTGATTTGTGAGATACGCATTGAAACCGCCAGCAGAGCATTCTGATGACCCACCCACATTCAAAGAAAGCAGAATTCACAGCACAGGTAAACCTTCTAATGGAGCCGCTGTCGCAGGGATCAAGTTACTAGAGGTGCTGCTTCAGGGATGGTGCTACTTCACAAGAACCAGTCGGAGAGGCACCTCCCTTCCCAAATGCTTCCGCAGGCCACTCTGCTGATCCAGAAAAACCCAACCATATATTCCTTTACCAGCAGCCCCTGCCCTTTCCCTAACAACACAACTCAACCCACCAGAATCACTGAAAATCAAGGCAATGCTTACCCATGAAATACATGGTTTTTGAACAAAAACCTCAGCAGTCACTCTTGTAAGAAACTAAAGATGCCACCATTGTAAATCATGATGCTACAGAGACAAACGCACAGGTCTTCTGACCACCCCAAAGTCAAGACAATGCAGCCGATGTTTCCTGAGCACGTACTGTATGCTGGGCCTGTGCACTGCCTCATGACCCGACACCACGCAAGTCACCTGGCCCACGGCAAGGCGAGTCTCCCCTCATTTCTTCATTTCAGTAGGACATTCATTATCAAAGAATGGACCGCATATGGTGGTCTGCCCTCTCTGAACACTAACCTGGTTTGTCTTCTCACGCAGCAGTGCCAGGCAGCCCCCCCAGACGCACTGTGGCATTGCCCCCACCTCTGTGAGCTGATTTCCCTCCTTGAGGGTCTGGATACCACAGCCCCTCCGGAGTCTTCCTCCTTGGTCAGTGATGAGGACAGGAGTGCTGGGAGTAGTGTAGCAGTGGACAGGGTGGGAAGCCTGGGTGCCGAGCACCCCTTACCTGCAGTTAGCCAAGGCACAGACAGGAAACCTGTTTGCGCTTCCCGTCTTCTCTCGCCAGCTCTTTTAGCACTTACCTGGCCTTTCCTTCGGGGTTCCCGCTGCCTTCTGGAGCATTCGGCTAGCCCCTCCTGCTCTCTGGACACTGAAGCTCTGGGGCGCTGGAATTAGATGAGTGTCTGCTCTGGCTCCTCATGGGCCCTGACTGCCAGGAAATAACAGTTGCTGGAGACATCTTGATCTGGGCTCAGCATGAGAACTTTCTATTACCCAGAATCCAGCGGAGGCACGAGCTCCTTCAGGGTAGAGGTCTGGTCCCTGTCCTGCCACTTGGATCTGTGGTGACTTGTCAGGGACATTGAATAGGGACATGGGCACCAAGCTGACCTGAGGACTCAGTTAACTCACGTTCTGTGTTTCTTCCCCCCGCCCCTTGTCTACCTCTTTTCCGTCAAACCTAAGTGGCTCTCTAGGGGTTGGCTTTCTCATGGTCTCTCTCTCCTGACCTGCTCTGCCCCATCGTGGGCATCTTGGAACCACACCAGAAGCAAGGCCACAGCTGTGGACCGGTCCCCCATGAGAGTCTCCCTGGCTCAATGGCCCCTGTAATAGGTACCTAGTTACATTATCATCCAACCTCCACTCCCTAAAAAGCTGCCTCGGTTTGCAGGAGAAAGGTAGGTGTGCCTTGCATTCTGTTATCAGTCCAGATTTGGCATCTGGTGGCTGGGGTGCCATTGGGATTTTGGAATGGAAGCAGTTCGATTCCTCCCTAGGAAGTTGCTCACAGCACTCACCAAGTGCAGTCTGTGGCAGTGATGAGTCACCAAATTTGTGTTTCAAGGTTTATTCCTTTCTCCCTTTAGGACTTGATTTCAACTTCCCGTCACTTCAGGCTGAGTCTAAATTTCAGTCATGTATCGTGGCTTCCTCTGAGCACAGAAACCTCTCCTTTTCTTCCATTAATGGAACTAAGATCCCAGCATAAACTGGTGAGAGTCATTTTTCCACGTCGTCATTCGCTGGAGCTATGAAGCCAGAACACAGATTGATGTTAGTGTTATATTAATGTAAGCAGCAGCCACTCTGGTGATGTTCCATTGAATTCTTTTTGTTCTTATACCAGATTCACAGGGTCAGGCAGAGTTTAGAGTGGGCTGCATGAAGCTGCGCTCAGCGGTGGCTGCTTTCAAGCAGCATTGTTCTTTTGCCTTGAAACCACATTTCCCAGTGTTAGAATCAGTGAGCCCCTTAATCCTGCATCCTGAAAATGGGCACCACAAAACCAAAACCAAAGTTCGGGGTTGGGGAGCAGGGCTTGTCTCTCGAAGCACAGGAGCTTGGGCGGGTGTCCCCCGACTGTGCCTCGGTTTTAAAGGGACACTCGGAAGGGCCTCCTCTTTTCTTAGCAGCTGCCTCATGTTTACTCTAGAAAGCAAGCACGTGCAGCCTGTGCCTCCTCGACCCATGGTGGGTGTCTAGAGCAGGCCCTGGGAGCCACTTCTTTTAGCCACTTCCTTGGGGGCTATAGAGCACAGTCACAGGAAGGTCTCTGCTGGGCTGATCCCCTGGGCCCTGAGCCATCACAACATTGGCATCCTCAGACCCACCCGGCCTACAAGTCAGGACACTCCCCCTGCTCAGAGACGCCAGGCGCGCCAGCGTTGCCTCCCCTAGAAGAGCCCACAGCCTTCTCTGACCTCCCCGCGGGCTCACCCTCCCTTCCATGGCCATGGTCACATTGGGTATGCAGTACCTTTCAAGGATAGATTTTTGTTTATGTTTTTTAAGTGCCTAAGCAAGTTACAGACGTCTGGAACCTGCCAGAGAGTTGGCCTGTGCCCTGTCCCCATCCCTCCCCCCCCTGCACTGGCTCTTGAGGATGGGCACAAGGCGGCTGCCCCTCTTCAGTGTCCCTGGTGTTCTGCAGGCAGAGCAAGGCAGGGACAAGCTAGCGGGAGAGATCACTTCACAGCCACATCAGGCTGGCTTTGTCACTATTTTCCAGCATTTCTTTCTTTAGAGCTGTTTCTGTTTATATGGGTTTGGTCTTGGTTAATAGAGAATGTAAGAGTCTGCTTAGGGAAATCTCAGTAGCCATTGAGTAAGAAGACAGGAGAGCAAGACAGCTTCAGCGGCATTCTGGCTCTGGCTTTGGTAGGAGTTGGAAAACGTGTCCACATCCAAGAGGGCGAAGCGTCGAATCACCCTAGCTCATGAGCCTGCTGACTCACCTGCCAGCGTGAGCCACAGGAGCCCCAGCTGCCTTTCTGAGCCCTCTCTTCCTAGACTAGAGATCAGGGTGTCTGCTCACGAGGGCTCGGGAAAGCCAGCAGTCGGGCGTCCAGATCCAAAGTGTGTCTTTGGAAATGAATGTGAGAGTATTTGTTTGCTTCTTTTCTAAAAAATAATTTGTCTGACCTAAATACGGGGCCTTTATTCTGCAATGGGTGTACGACAGATTATTTCGTGACTGCACTCTGTTCAAATCACATCACTAAGCAGCGCCCAGATGATTTGTTGGTGCATTAAAAGGTTTTGCAAAATGGAACAATCCATACCCAGGCACTTTATTTTCATTAATAATCCAGCATTTTTGTTCAGACAATGTAATCTGGGTTTCACATTTGACACGTGGGCAAACTTGCCAATGAACTGTGACCTGATAGAGAGGGAAGGCGGGCTGGTGAAGGTAATCCGATGGGAGGATAGTGCTGTGGTCATGAAAATGAGGCTTTCTGTAGCATGTCAGCCAACCCAGACCCTAGGCAGCACGTCGTCCCTCAGTTCTCCAGATGCTGTTTTTGCAGGTTCTACCAAGTGCTTGTCGATTACCCTCGCTGTAATTGTCTAGGGAAGAGCTGAATGTCAGTGAGGGTGCAGAGCACTGGGGAGGACGACAGTGAAATGCAGTTAGAGGCAGCAAGAGAGGTCCGGTTTGTTCTCACGTAACTGGACTTGAACGCTCCAGCGCGAGCAGGGTGCTAGGGTGGATTCCACTGCCGAACCAGGGCAGCCCTGCTTTACTCCTCAGCGTGGGGTGGGAACTAGCTGCGCAGCAGGTTAGGAAATGGAAAGCAAGCATAGCAGCTGTAATCTCGGCGGATACGCCGGAGCAGATGCCTTGGGATTGTCTGAAGTGTTCAGCATCCACCAAATAGTCGAATTTCTAAGATGGGCCACGTGGGATCCCTGCCACGTGGGTGTGTGGGCAGCGCACTCCTCCCTGCCTCGGCTGCTGTGTGTCTTAGTCTTCACGTTTCCCCTCGGCGTCTCCTCTGGTCCCTGTCCATCTTGTGCGCCATGTGTCCCTGAGGGCGAGTCACACCTGTGTCTGAGTCTGCTGTAAGGTGTTCAGTCTACCTCAAGGGGTCATCATGGTAAGCTCTGTCCACGGCATCCTCCGCCCATCGCCGCACACACTGGAATGTATCCCCCCCCCCCGCCCCATCCCTTCGACAACCTCTGACCCCGTCTTTCCTGTTACCACCACCAACTCCTAGTGCAAATTGGATGCTGCTTTAAATGTGAAAACAATTGTTCAAAAGCTATAAAACCTGAATGAAAGCTGAAGCTGAATTTATAAGCCTTGTTGCATATGAGCCAAAAGTGCAAAAAGCTCTATATAATGAACTAACCTGCCACTCGTATAAATATAAATATATATAAATATATTAAAATCAGACTGTTCTACAAAATTGTGTATTTGTATTTTTGTGTACGTACAATTTTCTGCTAAGCAGAAGGAGGATGTAGTATAGGATGCTGTGAGAAGAGCTTTGGTTTAATCCTACTTCTTTGTTACTTATTTTTGTTAACATCCGATGCCTGTCTTTGTCTTCTGTGTATGACACTGTGGAAAGCTGCAGTATCTCTCTTCCTGAGGTCCGGAGTCCATTAAAAAATAAGTATGGGGCTTAGAGTTGTCTTGGCCACCGAACACAGGTGAGCCAACAGAGTTTGGCTACCGTATGCGGTGCAGTGGGGCCTGGAGCTGCTCGTGGTCCTGTGGGAGGGAAAGAAAGGCCCCCCCCCCCCCCCACTTCAGGCTGGTCACTGTATTTTGACTTCCCTCTGGGAAGCAAAATCTCACTTGTAAAAATCAACTTCCAAGACAAAAGATGATCTGATGTCACTTTTCTGGGTCTACCAAGAAGGGACACAGATCTCTCTGAACTTGCAACAGGCCCTTATATTTTGGGGCCAGAAGTTTGCCCGGAAAGCAGCAGGTGGCCCTGCCTGGCTGAAGCCCGGCTCATTGGCCACCCTTGGGCTTCGTCTCCCTCCTCCGAGTAGTTGCTGCCCTCTTCAGATCAGGTAACCACAATGCCTCCCCGCTGCTGATGCTTTGTCCCCACACCTCCAGCCCCAGTGACCTGGAGCTTCTCAGAACCCACTTTGCCGGTGCTAAAACAAACACGAGGGGGTGAAAGTGGCTGCCAGCAATGGCCAGAAACCAACCACCAGAGGCCAAGCTGAAAGACAAGCTCCGGGTGCCCAGGGGCTGACAGGCCGACCACGCGGCGGGTCCCAGGCCCCACCCATTGCTGCCATATGCCTCTGAGCTCCACGGTGGCCCCTCTCCATGGGAACCTCTTCTAGGGAGAGTGATACTGCACCTTCACCTGTAGGACTCATCTTTATAACAATGTGTAATGACTGTAGCAAAAAGCCCTTGTTTCTAGATGTAAATGGTCAAAGAAACAAGCGCTCCATTGTATTGAATAAAATAGTTCAAATGAGTCCTGTATCATTGTATCTCCTATTCTGGATTAGTGCCTTTTGGACAGTAGACTGTTCTGTAATTAAAATGTAGTATACTGCTTTTTTGTACAGTTTTGTTTTAATAAAACTTTTTTTTAATTTGTGTTTATTTTAGTATTGTACCTATTAGAGAATAAAATGTATAACAATACATACTGGCTGGGATTTCTTTGGATCAAAATGATCATTTGGGAAGTGCCCAACCTGAACAAAGAGATGGAATATTTTGAACATGGGTTCCTTTGGGTGTTGAAAATAACTGGGGAAGGCTCACACAGCTGCTGCACACCCCCTGGGTAAGGGCAATGCCGAGCCCAGGAAAGCCTCTCTACTGCCCCACTCCCGGACCCTCCAGCCTGTGCTGGGCTCGTGTCTGGGTGACACTAGGCAAGACTGTGCCTCCTGGGAGTCCCCAGACCTCACCCTCCCTCACTGTGGCACACTGCCACCTGGCCTGCCTTGTGCCACCTGGCCTGCTGTCTCCCCACCATCTTCAAGCTGCACGATCACATGAAGATGTGGCCGCCCCAAAGGCATCAGGATCCTTGCAGCTCTTCCCCAGACCAGGAGCGCAGCCTCTGACTGACTTACACGGAGCTGCTGAAGTCCTTGTACCTTCTCCATTCCAGGCCATGCCCTGAGCCTCGTCTTAAAAGAGCTCTGTCTCTCTTGGGGCTGCACCTTTAGCAATAAAAAACAGTAAATAAAGCCAAGCCTTCATTATTGGTTTTCTCTAAAGGCTTCCAGTGGTTGGCATCAAATTCTTAAGCAGGACTCGAGGACAATGTGCCCAGGCTTGCCTCTCCCTTCTCAGAAAACCTAAGATAAAAAGGACGTGTCTTCTTTTCTTCACATATATCATGAGAAAAGATTATGCAGAATTTTAAGCTGCCCCAAACTCTCTTGAAGTTGCCAAGTGGAGGTGGGGAGGGGTTCTGGGTGGGGGGATAAGGGTAGGGAACAGCCCTGAAGATGTCCCCACCCATAATCTTAGTCCCAGATTACTATTTCTGCTTAAGCAGAATCGCTGATGAGCCAACCTTCCCACAGCCCACCCAACCTTTCTCCATGTGCACCGCACAGCCCAGACTGCTCCCAACTGCCCCATGTCCTCAGAGCACTCTAGGGCCAACTCCCTCAACCACCAAGGCCCTCCTGGGTGTATCAGCGCCACCCTACCATGGCACCCATTGGGACAGCTTGCTTCTGTACACTCCATGAGGACAGGCACAGGGCGAGTATGTGAATGTTAGTGAGTGAGTGGAAGGAATGAACTGGGTGTGACGTTCATTATAGCCCGTTTCAGAGTCAGCGACTCCAAAAACCCCACAGCCTTAGGCAAACAAAAGACATCTGAGTTGCAAGAGCGTAGCAGCTTGAAAAATAAAATCCACTCTAGGCGCTAGATCAATTCTATGTTCAGATTCCTCCCTCACTCAGAGCAGGGCATCTCCTGGCTGCCAAACTTTTGTCATTATTCAGCAGTGCTTGTGTCCGAGCACTCTTCTGCACTGAGGAGTGTAAACCGACCCTGCCCGGCCATGCCGGCAGAGGGACACCTCTGGTCAGCCCTTGGAGTGGCTGAGGCCTCCACTTCTAAGTGTATTTTGTATCCAAAGGCTGAGTGATTCACTGGCGCAGAAAGAAAACAGCTTCACACAGGGCCACCAGCACCTCTGGCGTCCTTGTGGGAATGTGCACTGGCTGCCCGAATCACTGGCACTGGCGAGACAGCCCACCCGACCCTTTAGGCACACTGCGAAGCCCAGACATCTCCCAACTCCCCCGTGCCCCTGCAGCCCTGTGGCTGAGTGGGAATCCACTGGCAAATGGAAGGAAGCCAGGTCACCTTGCCTGGCTTGAAAGCTGGACCCGGCATCCTCTGTACAATTCCAGGCCCACGCTGGGCACAGCTGGGTGGGTGGCTGCAGAATGCAGCCCCACTGCCCACAACTATGATCCCTGCTTCCCAAAACATCTTGTTACAGACCCCTGCAGAGGCTGCCCACCTCTGCAGAGGGGAAAGAAGTCCTCTCACCACAGTTTGAGGGGAGAGTGGAGACCCAGTGTAGGAACTATTACGAAGGTTACAGTAAACAGTGGAGTCAGGCCTGAGCCAGGGACAGTCCCTACCAGGTCTCCCAGTAGCACCACTTACCTGGGGTCAAAGGGCTCCAGAAAGTTCCTATGGTTCCTGGCTTCTATAAGGGGCTGAAGTCCAAATGAGGAAAGATGACTCGGAACCAGGTGCCCACCTGGGCTCTTTAGTCCAAATCCCGAACAGCTCAGCCTCTGGAGTCCATGGGCCAGGGGCCCAGGGGCCAGCACAGTCTGCTGCTGTTCCCTGGTCTTCCTTCTCCCAGTCTCAGTTTGGAAAAGCCCACCACCACCTTCGCTGAGAACAGCAATGGGAGGCCTGCCAGGGGCCCTAAACCCCGTGTCAGGGTCAGGGAAGGAGAAGCAACAAGACGGTCCTCAGACATGATGCAGGTGAGAAATCGTCTGGTTTTATTGAGAAGCTGTTGGTCATTTGATGGAAAGGCATATACCGTATAAAATTACCGGTGGTTTAGTTAATTACACAATACAAATCATTAGAGTCTCTAAAAGTCATTACAGTCTTCGGATTAAACTCCCATTTAATGTATACCAAATCAACATAATCCCGGAATGAAAGTCACTTCTTTATATGTGGACTCCTCACATTTACACGAATCCACACATACAGAAGCTGTTCCAAGACCCCCCAACACCATTAGTGTCAGCAGCCCACCAGGAAGGAAGGCACCATGGACTTCACAGAGAGAAAAATGCTTTTGGGTTCAGTGGGTCAGTATCTTGGCAGGAAGCACAGGGTGACTCCTGTCCCGGGGCTCAGGCAGGCACAAGACAGGCCCAGCACCAAGGCACCATCTTCCGGGGAGCTGAACCGCACCAAGAATCCTGTCGTGAGCACTGCACTGTCACAAACACACACTCAGGACTTCCTGTTTCACATACAGGGAACTTTGAAGGCAAGAGGATAAAATACTGGGAAGAATTGGGGGCACCTGAACACCTCCACCTCTCAGGCTCCAGCAGTCACATCCCCAGCTCTGTTCTCTTGCTGAACACACAAGGACTGCCTTGTTGGGCCCAGAAACGCCCTCCCGCTCCCTCTGGTCAGGCCTGGGCACTCGGGACCCCAGTCATACACCTGTCCCCTCTGCCCTCTGCTGCTGGATGCAGTGCCTGGGGCAGAAGTGACCCTTCACCCTGGAGCCACAGTCCCTCATAAGGGCTGGAGGGAAGTGGCAGGGCAACCCAGGGGTGTTCTGGGCACATGAAGAGAAAGAAGCAGGGCCCCCGGAAGGCTCCCCCGTCCCCATCTCTGACAGCACTGCGTGTGCAGTTACTGCCCTTACCAGCCTCGGGTAGCATCTGCGGGCCAACCCATACTAAGGTGCCACTCCCGGGCCTTCCAGGAACGCATTGGGAGCCCTAAAGCAGGCAGGCGAGCAGGCATGCCTGGGACTTAAGTCTGCTGGTCAGGGAGGCAAGAAGAGAAGACAGAAGCCGGAGCCGGCCACCCTGACCCACCACCCTCGAGACCACACCTCCTGCCTGCCAAGCACCGGCCCTGGGTCAGCGGGGCTCACTGCCTTAGGACCACGTCACTGCATGTCCGTCTTTCCCAGCCACAAGCTGACATTAGTCTGCACCGAGAAGCAAGAGTGAACAGGGCCTAGGCCCAAGTCAGGACACTTGTGTCCCCCAGGACTACCCTGAAACGATGCCACAGGAGGCCGCTGCTGGGCCGATGGGCTCAGCCAACATGAAGTGCCAGGTCACACACCGCCCGCCCACCTGCCGCTTTTCCCCGACTGTTCCCACCACAAGGCCCAGGTGCTCCCCTCTCACCTAGGCCACAGTGACACTAGGGGACCCAAGAACAAACTTCTCAGTTAATCAGGTTTTAAAATGCAAGCCGCTGTGCTGGGAAGTAGGCTGAGTAAAAAGCGAGGCAAAGGTGACAGTGCTTATCCAGGGACAGGCGTCACAGGGTTCCCCGAAACACTGGCTGAGGACAGGGAGGCCAAGCATGAGTGCCTCCCCATAGGGGCTGCACCCTCTGCCAGCCCAGCCTCAGGCCTTGTGTCCCGCACAGCCACTGGGGAGGGAAGGACACTTGTCCTCAAAGCCAGGCCTGGGACGGGCCTACCGTGGAGACTACTCCTCTAGAGGCTTCCTGCCCCTAGAGAACCAGAGCCTTCCACGGCGCTTTCTAGAAATTGTCCAAATGTGAGAACTAGACACCAGCTGCCAAGAGTGGCTGTGTGAACCCTGACCCAGGGTCTTGTCCCTAGATTGGTGGCCTGGGGCTGTCAGGCTGTTACCTCTGCCATGCCCTCAACCAGCTCCCCCTGCCCTCCACACAGAGATGCTGACCCCCGCCCCACAAAGCTGGCATCAAAGGCTCCGGGAGCAGAAGTGCCCCAGCAAGGAAACAGAGGCCACCGGGCTGTCCCAGCCACCCCATGCATGGTGGCCTGGGGACGTGGCTGCTGCGAGGGTCTGGAGACAAACCAGGCACACCCCCCGCATGGACGGGCCTGGGAGTTGCCACAGAGTTAAAATGACCCCAGGACCTTCCTAGAAACCAGAAGTGCACCAAATAAAGTAGTGATGCCTCGTCCTTTGTCACCGACTATGGAAGCACAACACCATTCTCCCAGGTTTTTGCTTTTATCCAAGTTAAGAGTAAGGCCACTGTGGATCCCCAACAGAGGGGCATGAGGAGGGGGCTGCATTCTCCGCTGTCCCCAGGACACTCCACCTGGGCCGGAGGCTAGCAGCTCTGCAATGGCCACAGAGGCCATGACGTGCAAGGGAGGCCCTGGGCCCCCATGCGCAGGCAGATGACGATTGCGGCTCGCAAATGATTACGGATTTTGAAAAAATAAATATAAATAAATACATTCCAAGCCTTCTGTGAAGGGAATAAACGGCAAACGTAAGGGATTTTGCAGGTGTAAAGACACCAAGACGCCCACCAAGCAACTGCGAAGAAACCCTGGCCTAGGAGGGGTAGGAGGGGCTCAGGCCTCGGCCCCACCTGGGGTGCCAGGGCCATGTGCCAGAGCCCAGGGCCCCCCAGAGGCACTTGGAGAACCTGGGACCAGGGTGGGAGGCTGGGAGCTTGAGGAGTGTGCCGGGCTATCCTGGGCAGGTGGAGGAAAGGCACTGGTTACAATTCTGGTTTACGTTAAGACATCAGTGGGGCCGCCAGAATGAAAATGACAGCAACATAAGGCCCCAGGCACAGGCACACGGTGAGATGGCTGGGGGCTGTGCCACCCAGGGCCTTGGTCCCCACATCCCCCAGCCCCTGCAGGCACCCAGAACCTTCCACCTGAGGAGGCACAGCTGAGGCCCCCTCTTTCCCCAGGTAGAGAAGAAACAAAGCTTCCAGAGGCCCAGGGAGGTCACCAGCCCTGCGTCGTGCAAAAAGCATTCACTGCCCTGCCTCCAGGGAAGGGGCCACAGGGCTCCCTGTTCCCCAGGCTGTTGCTGGCAGACTCAAGAGGGGCCCGGGACCCCAAGAAGAGTTCGCCCTGAGGTGGTGGCTCAGCTGGCCCAGGATTTCCGGTTCTCAGGGTTCTTGTGGCTCCTGTCGGCCTTGGCCAGGGCGGCTGTCAGCGACGCCAGGTTGGTGGCAGAGCCCGAGAGGGTGGCACTCCGGCGGGCCTCAGGGGTGCCCAGTCGGAGCCCTGCGCTGCGCCGCCGCATGGGGCCTGTGGACCTGCGGACCCGGCTGGGCCTGACCAGCAGCCCATAGCCAGGATTACACCTGAAGTACTGCTTCCCACCGATGGAGCCGTCATTCTTACCTGCAGGGGAAGGAGAAAGTGAAATGGAGGGCAGGCCAGCTGCAGATGCCCCCTGCACCTTCCTTGTCTCTGCAGAGGCCATGTGCCCACAATGCCACCCCCCATGCCATCCCCCCATGCCATCCCCTGGCACAGCCCTACACAGCCGGCACTCAGACACTGGCCACTGTCTGGCAGGGACTGGCTAAGTGAATGTGGCCAGGGCACGAGGTGACCACCTCCCAGGACAGAGAGCAGTGGTGACCAAGGATGCCCAGCCCCAGTCCACAGCCTCAGGCAGGAGGTGACAGGCCCTGGGAGTGCCTTGCGGGAGCGCAGGTGCAGGCCAACCACCAAGGCAGAGCTGGCCACCCGCGGGGGAACACACCCTTCTCCATCTGGACCCAGGCCTGAGCTGGATGGCGGCAGAATGGTTCTTTTGCCGCGTCTATGAAATGGAAACTGGCAGAACTGCCGAATAATGGTGAATCAGATGCCAGCGAGATGTGTCAGGATGGGGTGAGGAAGAGCTTCCTCCAACAGCAACATGCAGATGCTTAGGGTGAAGAATAAGAGAGCAGAGCCCACGGCGTGTGAGGGAATCAGGGAACCAGAGCAAAGGGACCGGGACAGCCATGGCCATGGGTGGATGGGTGCAGGATCTTTGTAGCCAAAATCATCCGGAATCTTCCATGCCGCCTCCAGGGACCAGCCCTGCCCCCTGCCTTGCCCAGCAGGCTCAGCTGCTCCTCCTGCGTCTTTCCTGCCTGGACCTTGTCCCCTCCCAGGCCGGCCACGCTCCTGCTTTCCCCCACCCTCAGCACCGCCCTAGAGCTCGGAGCCCAGCACTCACCTGAAGGCAGGTCCAGCTCCACGCCAATCCACGTGCCCTCCTGGAAGTCAACGGGACCCACATATCTCACCACGCCCGTTTTGTGGGCGCCCACGGTGACGAACTCGCCCTCTCGGAGCCACTCCGGAACCCCGTCAGCCTCCTCGGAATCAGAGGCCTGGGTCTGTCCCCCAGTGCCCGCAGCCGGCGCATCCCCCTCGGCCCCCGGGGAGCAGCCAGGGTCCCCACCCAGCATGCGGGAGAAGGAGCGCAGCTCTGAGGCCCGCACCCTCCGGACACGGAATGGGGAGCCGGGCGCCTGGGCCTCCAGGTCGGGGCGCTCCTCGGCAGGGACGACCGTGGGCGGCGGGGGGCGGCGAATGGGCGTCTCGGGCTCGGCCTCTGAGGCGGCGAGTGCGGGGCCGGGCGGGGCTGCAGCGTCCAGACCCGGGCCCAGCGCGTCCGACAGGGTCGCGGTGGAGACGCTGTGGGAGAAGTACCCGCTGGAGGCCTCGCTCAGGGGGCTGGGGGGCCCGTCCTGCACTTCTGGAGCCGGGGTGGCTGCTGTGACCACGGGGACAGGCGGCGGGGAAGGCGCTTTGGCGGGCTTGTCGCCGATCTTCAGGGCTGGGACCCCAGTCGTCTGCACCAGCACGTCAGGACTCGTCCCCAGCTGAGCCTGCAGCAGGACAGAGGGAAGCAGAGGCTGAGAGCTGAGAACTTCCCAACACCATCCACACCAGCGGCTGACTGTGAAGAGAGGCAGCCAGGGGCAGGGGCTCAGCCCGAAACCCCAGCGCTTACAGAGGGCAAGGCGGAAGATGGCTTGATCCCAGGGGTCCAAGAACAGCCTGGGCCACACAGTGAGACCCCATCTCCACAAAATAAATAAAGAGCACGGCATGGACCGGCCAGGCCTGGTTCCCACATTGGTTCTGCGTCTTAGGTCTGCCAGGCCCACGCTTCACACTTGACAAAGGTGTAGGGGCGACCGTGCACCTCACAGGCCTCGTGCTGGGTGCCCGGGCTCAAAAGCGCTGGCCACAACCATAGCCCCTGCCTCATCAACTCCTGACCTTTCACAGAACAGAGTCCAGGACCTGCCACGCAGGGCCAGCGTGCTACAAGGACCAAAGCCCCTTGCCACAGAGGGTGGCACACAGTAGGTGCACACCCAAACCTTGCTAGGGCTAGTTAGCTTTCCTCCCATGGAGACAAAATCCCTGATCACCCCTGACCTCGAGAAGAGGCTGAGTCACTAAAGAAGCCAGAAGAGCACTTTTTCTCCGGCAAAACCTAAACAACGATCTCATAGGAGGACGGGAACACACTCAGCACAGCCTGGCCAGCGCAGGCACCAACAAGGGCCATGGGCCTGTGGCCTGGCTGGGCATCCAGGGCAAGGAGGCAGGGGGACGAGGTGGCGGATGAGAGGGGAATGGGGGGGACGAGGTGGCAGATTAGGGGGGAATGGGGGGGATAGGTGGCGGATGAGGAGGGAATGGGGGGGATAGGTGGCGGATGACGGGGGAATGGGGGGGATAGGTGGCGGATGAGGAGGGAATGGGGGGGATAGGTGGCGGATGACGGGGGAATGGGGGGGATGAGGGGGAGGAAGGTCCCTTGGGCCATGCCCTTTCTCTCTGAGTCTGCTGTTCTGGCTGCTATGGAAAGCAGGTCCCATGTCAGAGGTTGGGGGACCTCAGAGCCTGGAGACAGGCCAGGAAGTAGCCCCCAGGGAGAAGCCACCAAGAGAGGCCAGCCGCTCTCTCCACGTCAGTTACTCTGAGTCACCCAGGCAGAGGACACACATACACACACACACCACCCAAATCTCATGGGGGATAACAGCCACCGCTTGCCCAAATTCTGCTGTTTCTGGGGTGTTCTTTTGTCTATAACTAAAGCTGCTGGATCCTATTTCTGTTCACAATGACCGGAGAAAAGGAGAAGGCAGGAATAGGGAAGGAGGCTGCGGGGTGCAGAGGGCTGCTATCCAAAAGAAATATGTTTTCCGATATTTACGGAAAAATTATTTATATTACAGGAATGTTCATTTTCCATTTGAAATACAGGATTTATTTAAATGGGGAAGCGGCAGAGATCTATAAGTCTCTTACTGTTACTTGGCTTACCTCAGCAGCTTGATAAATCATGCCTTTTCCCAGGAACTGTCATTTATATTCCTGTTTCCAGGGACCCTCTTTTCCCCACAAGCCACACTCTCGGGGTATGAAATTAACGGCACCTCTTGAGATTAACAGCCCATTTCTGTGATGAATCTCTGGGCTGCAAAATTTACTCAATTCAATATATCAATAACTGTCCCTAGCATAAATACTCTAAAAGATTAGGCAATCCTTCAATCATTTTTCCTTTGCATGTTGCACACATTTTATTAATTCTCTTCTATGTTAGTTTTAACATCACTGGCCATGCAGGGAAGAAAACACAAAACCACGAGAGCTGGAAATCTGAACAGCAACCAGGGTCCTGAAATGGCTTCTGTTACCTGGCTCCACCGCAGGTGAGGCCAGCCAGTGTCACTTCCGCACCTGGTGCTAAGGGCCTGGCCAGGCTGTTGCAGGAGGAGGCCAGCCACATGACTCAGATTTGCAGGTATCATCCCATTGGCTGCCACCTGAGTCACTGGCTTGGGTGGGCTGGAAGGATGGTGGCATTACTGTGCTGCGGGCCTCCAGAGGGAAGGCCCTGATCCAAGGCCCCGCTAAGCTAAGCGGAAAGGAAGGAACTGGGGACAGAGCTGCAGTGTCAACCAAGGGGGGCGCGGGCCAGTGGGAAGCGCTGAGTGGCCGCAACCTGGGAGGCCCGCCGGTTATGGCACTCCATGCTGTGTCCCCCTCAACTGGAGGTGACTTGTGGGTTGAAACCCAGGTGCCATCTCTGAATTATACCCTTACCAATGAAGAAGGCATTTCTGGAGACTTCGGCAAAAGCTTGGAAAACCATGATGAGCTCCAGAAGCTGCTGCTTTCACCAGCAAGGGGCCTGCTCTGACCATCCCACTGCCCAGGGGCACTCCACCTGCCTCAGCAAAGTGACCAGTACCACTCCCAGGAAAGGGGCACTGCGATCTCGTCCACACCAAATTTGTGAACGCCCAGTGTGCACTGGAGTAAAAGGGTCATTCAGACAGAAGGATGTTCATGGAGGTGTGAATATTCTTTCACATGATTGTGCCTCTAGTTCTGTTCTTGTAATAAAGAAAATTTTCCTAAGAAGACAGCAGTTCCTAAGAGAATGAAAGCGCAGGGGGAGAAAACAGACTCGCTCCTCATCAGATGGGGAGTGCTGCTATCTGTGGGCATCAGAAGAGATGGCTTTCTCCCAGCTTAGTTGTCTTTTCACGCTGATGTCATGAATCAATGAAATGTAAAACTGAGAATTAAGCAAACATTTAGAAGAAGGAGACGGTTCTGTTTACAGCAATCTCCTCTGCCTAGCGTGGGCTATTAAGGCAGCAGACTATATTAGCAGTCAAGCACCTAAAAGTTTAGCAATCATATGATTAACCAGTTGAACACAGAAAAGCGTAACAAGGAAAATAGAGAGGGAGAAGACAGCGACCTACATTATCGCTAGTTACCAAAACAGGAACGCCAACATCAAAAAGTACGGGTGTGGACTCAACAGTTTCAGCATCAGGACCACCCGCTGTAGGAGGGGCAGCCACCCATGGCTTTACTGACTCACCTCCTCCATCCTGGTCACCCCGACGTCTGGGCCGGCCAACTGCACCATGATGCGGGGCACGGGCTGGGGAGGCAAGCGCGCAGGTCAGGGGTTGAGGGACAGAACAGAGGTAGCAGAGAGGCTTACGCTGCACAGGCTGGAGGGCCAGGACCTGCCCCAGGGGAACCGGCCCATCCGGTGTGCAACTGCGGGCCTCCACACCCTCCAAGGAACAAGGGACCCAGCAAGGGGCTCCTCCCCGAGCCAGGGAAACAGCCTGCATGACAAGATCACCAACACAGTGGGGCACTGATGTGTGCGATGCTCACTCCCTCCAATCACATATGCAGAGGACGATTGAGTGCTGGACCTGCACAGACAAGCGTTATGAGACAGGAAAGATCTAGAAAGACGTCCAGCAGTAGGAGAACGCCACACCAGGGGCTGACTCACAGAGATGAAGGCTTGGAGTCACAGGTGGGGAGGAGGGAGGCCAGGCTGGCTGGAGCACAAACCCAGAGCCCAGGCAGCAGGCTCAGGTCGGCAGCAGGCCCTGGGCATCAGAAACTCATTTTACCCTGCTCAGAGAGGAAGGGGCCCCACCGAGTCCCCAGCCAAGCAAGACGGCAGCTGAAGATCAGAGACTCTGATCGGGTGGGGACACAACTGACCAGAAGAAGATTTACAGTCCAAAGAGGCAGATCAGTAACACAACTCCAGCAACAGAGCAGGGCTGAGGCGGTAAGAGCCTCAAGAAAGAACCTGGTTACTTGTGGACACTGGGCCAGGCAGCATTAGAGACAGACAGCAAAGAAGCATCGGAGCCAGGAGAAGGGAAGGCCGGAGGAGAGGAGCCGGAGCGTCCTTCTGTTGCTGCGGAGTGTCCGGCGGCTGTGGGACACAGAAGCAGCTAAGCAGACGCGTCCATCCCGGGAAGAAGCTGGGAACACACCATACCCGCCTCCATCCTCCCACCCCGCTACTGCAGTAATCAGGCCTGGCCTCACGCACAGGGCTCTCATGAGGGTCCTGTTCTGCCAGGACAGCCGAGGGTCGGGCTTCTTCCTTGTGGGTCCACAGGGCACAGCTGGTCGCTGCTCAGTTACTGAACTTAAACTGCCCAGCGCCGTGGACTCCACCTATCCCACCTGCCTTCTCCCAGCCTCAGCTGTCCTAGTGCTGGGCACCTGAGGCCTCCACAGAGTCAGGCCTTGTGGACAGAGCGGCAGGTGCACAGCCGGGCTGCCCAGGCCTTCTCCCTTCTACTGGGGAGCCTGAACTCCACCACAGGGAGAAGAGCCCCGGAAGAAGCCAGCCCGCTCAGCAGGGCGCTCACCATGTTGACAAGCATGGACTAGCCTCACTTCACCAAAGGGCACTGCTGTGACCACTAGTGCCTTGGGGCTGCTTCTGGGAGAAAAGTTGAAGAGGGAATTGACTGCAGAAGGCAGGGGCACCGGCAGGACTTCAGAAAAGGCACAGTGGAGAGGACTCGGGAGGAAGCGCAGCGATCAGGCTTCAAGATCTGGAGGGATGGGAGCCAGATGTGGTGGCACACACCTGCCATCCCCGCTCCTCAGCAGGCAGAGGCAGGATTACTTAAGCCCAGGAGTGGGAGGCTGCAGTGAGCTGTGATCACACCACCGTATTTCAGCCTGGGCAACAAAGCAAGCCCTTGTGTCAAAGAGAAAAAAAAGGTGGAAGGACCAAGGAAATGCACAAAAGGAATGTGTACTTTACCCTGCAAACACTGGGGAGGGTTCCTGGGGTGGTCTGAGGCCAGGGACAGCCAGTGCCAGGGTGCGGTCAAGACTAAGTGAACAGCCAATGGGACCGGGTAAGGGAGGGTCCCCTGGTGGTAGTGAGGCCACTGCACATGACACGGCCTGAAGGACAAGACCTCTGGCCTCCACCTCAATCCCTAAGCAGAACAGTGTCCCCTCTGCACCCCTTGCAGTGCTCAGCTCCTTTTGTCCCTGCCGCTGCTCCCCGTGGCGCCACCTACCGCCACCTCCCAGAGAAGAAAGCGAGGCTCACGCCTGAGTCCTGTGCTGCCAGGCAGTCCTCGCTGCAGGGGCTATCTTCATTTTTCTCCCCACGTATTTAACGTTCCCACAAATGGGAAGGTGCTCCAGGGTACATTTCATGACAAAAGCAGAAAAAACATTTCACAAATTCCAAAATACTTGCACTCATCAGCTACATCTTACCTACAGTGGATAGGACTGAGAGTCCACTGTTTCTACTAAGGTCAAGTTTATTCCCCTTAAAGCCTAAAAACGTAAAAACCCCAAGGATGGGATGGTAACTGCCCAGCACGAAACCTTCTCTAAAATCATGTGATGCCTGCGCTCTGAAACAGACCACGCAAACAAGTTACACTTTCCTTCAAAACCCAGTGTGACTAGAAAAACCTGGTAGATGGATGCTTATTAAATATTTGCTGAAATGGATTTATGGACCGGATTGACTGCCACCTTGGTTCTTACCCTCCACGTATAAAACTTCAGCTCAACAGAGACTGCATCAGGTCCTACAGCATGGGGGTATGGCGCCAGGGGCTCTGCTCTCAGCAGATGAGCAATCTGATTGGTGGGGAACACGTGAGCAAGTCACTAAAAGCCAAGAATATGACACTGGAGTGGAAGCTCAAAAGCACAGAGGAGACCGGGCGTGGTGGCTCACACCTGTAATCCCAGCAGTTTGGGAGGCCAAGGCAGGAGGATCACCTGAGGTCAGGAGCTCAAGACCAGCCTGGCCAACATGGTGAAACCCTGTACTACTAAAAATACAAACAACAACAAAAAAATTAGCTGTGCACGGTGGCAGGTGCCTGTAATCCCAGCTACTCAGGAGGCTGAGGCAGGAGAATCGTTTGAACCCAGGAGGCAGAGGTTGTAGTGAGCCAAGATCGCACCATTGCACCACTCCAGCCTGGGTGACAATAGTGAAACTCCATTTCCAAAAAAAAAAAAAAAAATTCAGAGGAGGAAGGGGTAATAAATAGAATGGGTGTGAATACCACATGAGGGGGGCTTTTGGCACAGGCCTTGGGTATGAGTTTAGCAACCTTTTTAAGGATGCCAAATATATCGACCATGAATACTGAGGTCCTGTGTCATCATCCTTCATATATAACAGCTGCAATTTCCAAGTGTGTCTGTTTCACTTTCCTGCCCTTCCGCGTCTCACCTGTGCAGGCAGTCAGCTCCTATGTCAGGGGCTCGAAACATTTCAGATCTTAAGTTCATTAATCCTTACAACACATCTGGCAACTACTAATAAAAATGACTGCAAAGCTTTCTGCAGCTATAAATACTAAGGAGAAGTCCCGTGAGGCAACTGAATATAATTGTCTACATTTCTCACTACAGAACCTGAGGCCCAGAGAACATTCACCTAATGGTTAGACGTATTCACGTTGCCACACAAGTGAGTGACAGGGACGGAGGAGGATTTAGTTCTCTAGTGCCAGCTGAACCTGCAATCATGCTGTCCACTGGGCGCTGGTAAAACTGAACAGATGAACAGCTTACAGGCCACAGAACAGCTTAGAAATATTTCAGGGAAAAGGTGCCGGTCACTGCTCTAATAGTATTGCACTACTTTTTAACTCTGGCTTTCACATGCTACAAGAATACACGCGAGATCAGGTCAGCATTTCATAACTTGGAACAAAAGCTAGAAGAATAAAATAACTCCCTGATGTGACATACAACATCTCCAAGGGGACACACCTTGCCTTGCTTGCTTGCTCCCCTAGTGCACGCAGAATTCCTTCAATGCACGCACGGCTTTTCTGGACCCTTCCTCACGCCACTCCCGCTAGGGAATCGTGTTCCACCTGGTGAATACCGATTCATTTCTAAGTCTCTGCTCAAGCCTGATCTAATTCTCCTGGAACTGCCACGAACAGTGCCCACTCATTTCGCTGTGTTGTCCACAAACACTCACACGTGATAGCACCTAGAGTGTCATCCCACACTGTTTCTTCATCTGCTTATGTGGCTCGAAAGGGGCTTCTCCAAACTTCAGGCTCTTGGAAGGGGACAGAGCACATCTCATTCATCCTGGTATTTCCTTACGTAAAACAGTAGCTCAGTATTTGCTCAATGAACAAACAAATGCATAAATTACTTAGCAAGTGATACAAAGAAGACTCAATTGTACAGTTACCCGGGAAAGAACAGGCAGTCTGAAATGTGGGCATCAGGGGACGTAAAGCAGAAAAAAGGTCTCAGTTGAAGGAAAAAAGTAATCACTAGAACTTCCCCAACACTGCATTTTCTGATGTATTTTTTCTTGTTTGAAAATAAACCTTTCATGACTAAAAATCACCCCTTACCCTGAATTTCAGAAATTCTTAAATGTCATTTTTTAATGGTGCCTATACTAATACAATCCTCTGTCTTGTTTTAAACACTAACCAATCATTTAAATCCAAGTATAGAAAATTACTTTTTAATGGAATATACAAGATATGTAAGATTTTTTTGTTACAACCTTTCGTTTTCCTGCTGCTGAAGTCTGAAAAACTGAAGAAACAAAAGGCAGCAGAGGTGGGGCCTCTGACCTCCAACATGCCTGCTAATCTAAACAGTTCTGATAAAAGTAACACGTGGATACAAATCAGACACTGTGTACAGTGGCTCTCACCATCTGCAATCCCAGCACTTTGGGAGGCTGAGGCAGGAGAATCACTTGAGCCCAGGAAGGAGTTCAAGACCAGCCTGGAAGATGTGGAGAAACTCCATCTCTACAAAAGTTAAATTAGCTGGGCGCGGTGTGCACACCTATAGTCCTAGCTACTCGGGAGCTGAGACTTGCTTGAGCCCAGGAAGTTGAGGCTGCAGTGAGCCATTATCATGCCACTGCACTCCACCCTGGGTGACAGAGTGACACCCAGTCTCAAAAAAAAAAAAAAAAAAAAGACATGCACAACACAAACATTAAGCCTCAGCAATAACCTAATTGATAGAAACATCTTTTTAAGGTTGTCCTGACCAGAGGCCTGGAAGAGAGGAAAATGAAGAGTCCTGTGGGGGGAGCAGGGAGAACGTGTCTAGCACTGGCCCTGAGCCTGTGCTCCAGCCTGTGGCACGTGAGGCCTTCAGTGACCTGGACACGTGGCCATCCTGTGCGCCTGGAGGCTCCAGACCCTGACAGGCTGATCTGGATAAAATGTGAGAGCTATAATGGCACCAGCGTTTTTGTCCAGCTGGTAGCCGCAGTTATTTTGAATGCGTGGCTCGGCATTCTAACTTTTGTGTAAAAACCTCATCACCTCTGGGCTTGCACATCTGTCTGCAGGGGGGTGATCCTATCCACATGAATTCTCTAAGCAGCATCAGTGGGGAGGCAGGCTGGTGGCCGCTGATCCCCACCAGAGCCATGGTGACCCTGCCTACCACGTGCCCTCCAAGCAGCGCCTCGAAGGACTCAACACGGGAAGGCAACTGCAGGATTCTGACCCACGTGACAATCCCCGCTGAGGGTTCTACCCACACTCAGTAGTGTCTTCCAGCTCCATTCTCTTCAAATCCACTTCCCAAACTGCAGCCAGTGGGAGATCTCCGAAAAACCAAAGTGACCAGGTCGCTCTCTGAGCTGCAGCTGCCAGGACTTCCCATGGCCACAGACAGGGAAACGCCGGCGGGTCCTACACAGTGTGTTTCTGCAGCTTGACCCATCCCTCCTACAAATGCTCTACTGATTCATTCATTCCACAAATGCAATCACTTTTACTCTTAATCGCTGTCTCACAGCTGTGCATGTAACCTTGCTTTCTGAATAGCAAGTTCAGCTCTGCTATCCCCAAGGCTCTGAAACCTGAGACAGGCATACCCTCCCTGCCTCCTTTTCCCCAACGGGGCAGCCACCGGCCACAGGTGGGGGCCCAGCATGGAGAATGTGGCTAATGTGACTCAGGACGTCCCTTTAATTGATAAAGTGCACCCTTCAACACTGAAGCGCTTTAAAGTATGTTTAGAGCAGCCTCATCATTTGAGTCTGCTTTTTCAACCATAAATTTTATGAATTCTAAATGCAGATCAAGTATTTCCGACGGAACTTTAGCATCTGAATTGCAATGTGCTAGAAATGTAAAATACACACCTGATTTCAAGGACTTTGTACAGAAAGAAGGATGGGAATATCTCAATCATTTGTTTAAACTATGGACATGACAGTATTTTCAATACACTGGGTTAACCAAATGTTATTAAAATGAATCTGACCTGTATTTTTTTTGCTTTCTTAAATGTGGCTACTAGAAAATCGTTAAGTTACACACATGGCTCGCACTATGTATCTATTACATGGTGCTGGTCTAACTCGGTCCTGTTGAGGAGCGCATTAAAATTCCTGATGTGGTGCCAGGTATAATAGCTTTCAGCATGTTTGTAAAGTGTTCACTGGAATTCTGTGTCTGGGCGGAGTTGGCTTACTAAAAGTACATTTTTAAACAGTCAATAGTTTCAGCTGATCTAGAAGTCACAAGTTTCTAATTAACTGAATCAGTTCCGCTTCTGCCGCTCCTGGTGCTGCTTGTGTGCTCGTTCGGTGCGGACCTGGTACCTCTTTTGTGAAGCCGCAGCTGAAGAGACTCCGGTGCTCGCCATGGCCGACGAAAAGCCCAAGGAAGGAGTCAAGACTGAGAACAACGATCATATTAATTTGAAAGTGGTGGGGCAGGATGGTTCTGTGGTGCAGTTTAAGATTAAGAGGCATACACCACTTAGTAAACTAATGAAAGCCTATTGCGAACGACAGGGATTGTCAATGAGGCAGATCAGATTCCGATTTGACGGGCAACCAATCAATGAAACAGACACACCTGCACAGTTGGAAATGGAGGATGAAGACACAATTGATGTGTTCCAACAGCAGACAGGAGGTGTCTACTGAAAAGGGAATCTGCTTCTTTACTTCAGAACTCTGTTCTATAAAGACCAAGATTACATTCTCAATTAGAAAACTGCAATTTGGTTCCACCACATCCTGACTACTACAGTATAGTTTTCTCTATTCTTTCATTTTCCCCTTCCCCATTCCTTTATTGTACATAAAGTAACTGGTATATGTGCACAAGCATATTGGTTTTTTTTTTTTTAACAGCCAATGATATGTTTTGATTGACATCAAGTGGAGATGGGATGGGGAAAAATACTGATTCTGTGAAAATACCCCCTTTCTCCATTAGTGGCATGCTCATTCAGCTCTTATCTTTATATTCCAGTAAGTTATTTTGCTCTCACTGTTTTAACAAAAAAACAACATAAAAATCCTTGCATACCTTGTTTGATTGGAGACTTTTAATGTTTTTCATTTATCATTGTAAAACCAAGGACAATTTTATAACTTTTTTGTACGTAGCTGTTACATACTCACAAGGAATGTAAAGGACCTCTTCAAGGAGAACTACAAACCACTGCTCAACGAAATCAGAGAGGACACAAACAGATGGAGAAACATTCCATGTTCATGGTTAGGAAGAATTAACATCGTGAAAATGGCTATACTGCCCAAAGTAATTTACAGAATCAACGCAATCCCCATCAAGCTACCATTGACTTTCTTCACAGAACTGGAAAAAACCACCATGAACTTCATATGGAACCAAAAGAGAGCCCCCATAGCCAAGTCAATTCTAAGCAAAAAGAACACAGCGAGGGGCATCACACTACCGGATTTCAAACTATACTACAAGGCTACAGTAATCAAAACAGCATGGTACTGGTACCAAAACAGAGGCACCAGAGGCAACACAACATATCTACAACTATACAATCTTTGATAAACCTGACATAAACAAGCAAGGGGGAAAGGATTCCCTGTTTAACAAATGGTGTTGGGAAAACTGGCTAGCCATGTGCAGAAAGCAGAAACTGGACCTCTTCCTGACACCTTACACTAAAATTAACTCCAGATGGATTAAAGACTTAAACATAAGACCTGGCACGATAAAAACCCTAGAAGGAAATCTAGGCAAAACTATCCAGGACATAGGAGTAGGCAAGGACTTCATGAACAAAACACCAAAAGCATTGGCAACAAAAGCCAAAATAGACAAATGGGACCTAATGAAACTCCACAGCTTCTGCACGGCAAAAGAAACAGTCACTAGAGTGGATCGGCAACCAACAGAATGGGAAAAAATGTTTGCAGTTTACCCATCTGACAAAGGGCTGATATCCAGAATTTACAAAGAACTCAAACGGATTTACAGAAAAAAAAAAACAAGCCCATTCAAAAGTGGGCAAAGGATATGAACAGACACTTTACGAAAGAAGACATATATGAGGCCAACAATCATATGAAAAAATGCTCATCGTCACTGGTCATCAGAGAGATGCAAATCAAAACCACATTGAGATACCATCTCACGCCAGTTAGAATGGCGATCATTAAAAAATCTGGAGACAACAGATGCTGGAGAGGATGTGGAGAAAAAGGAACACTTTTACACTGTTGGTGGGAGTGTAAATTAGTTCAACCATTGTGGAAGACAGTGTGGCGATTCCTCAAGGCCTTAGAAATAGAAATTCCATTTGACCCAGCAATCCCATTACTGGGTATATATCCAAAAGACTATAAATCGTTCTACTATAAGGACACATGTACACGAATGTTCATTGCAGCACTGTTTACAATAGCAAAGACCTGGAATCAACCCAAATGCCCATTGATAATAGACTGGATTGGAAAAATGTGGCACATATACACCATGGAATATTATGCAGCAATCAGAAATGATGAGTTTGTGTCGTTTGTAGGGACATGGATGAATCTGGAGAACGTCATCCTCAGCAAACTGACACAAGAACAGAAAATGAAACACCGCATATTCTCACTCATAGGCGGGTGATGAAAAATGAGAACACATGGACACAGAAAGGGGAGTACTAAACACTGGGGTCTATTGGGGGGAAAAGGGGAGGGCCAGTGGGAGGGGGAGGTGGGGAGGGATAGCCTGGGGAGAAATGCCAAATGTGGGTGAAGGGGAGAAGGAAAGAAAAGCACACTGCCATGTGTGTTCCTATGCAACTGTTTTGCATGCTCTGCTCATGTACCCCAAAACCTAAAATCCAATAAAATATTTAAAAAATAAATAAAAACTTCAGCTGAACTAAAAAAAAAAAAAAAAAAAAAAAAACTGAATCAGTTCCAAAGTCATTTGAGGATACAACACGAACTCCATTTTCTTTCAAACAAAGAACCTAAGATTTCATGAATTTACTCATTCACAAATACGTACCAGGTACCTACTACACTCTGAAGACGGTGGCAGGCGCTGGGGACACAGTGTGAGCAAAAGCACAGTCCCTGTGCTCATCCAGACTAGGCACTCAGGGTCTGACATTAATATTCCTATTTCATTTTAGTTACACAAAACAATTAAAAGGCCTATTTTTCCTAACAACTAAATTATTTTATCACTGGATACAAGTGACTAACAAGATCCATGTAGTCTGTGACACATTAGGCATGTGTTATAGTCTCACTTATTCTAAGTATTCTATAAATAAAATTTTAAATAATAGTGTTTCCAGAGTTACCAGAAAAGATACAGCTTCTGATTTTTATTATCTACCAGTTTACTTTTAAAACTTCTACATAACAGCCTGGGCTGTTAAAAAAATAAAAAATAAAAAGGTTTTTTTTAAATTAGCCAGGCAAGGTGGCACACTCCTGTGATCCCAGCTACTCGAGAGGCTGAGGCAGGAGGATCACTTGAGCATAGGAGTTCAAGGCTGCAGTGAGCTGAGATCACGCCACTGCACTCCAGCCTGGGCAACAGAGCAAGACCTTCTCACAAAAAATAAATTAAAAAACAAACAAACTTCAACATAATAACAGTTAAAACTTTTTCAAGTATTTCTATAAAAAAATTATACATATATATTTTAAAAGACAGAACACTCACTTCATCCAAATGATGGTTACTAGTTTTTCACGTGTCCATGAAGGATTAAAGATGCTTATTTGAAGAATGTTTGCTAATCTCAAAACCTTAAAAATAGGGTGTTGTTGGGCGGGGTGGCTCACACATATAATCCCAGCACTTTGGGAAGCTGAGGCAGGAGGACTGCTTGAGCACAGCAGTTCAAGACCAGCCTGGCTAACACAGGGAGACCCCACCTCTACGAAATTAAAATGTTTAAATTAGCCAGTCACGGTGGTGTGCACTTGGAGTCTCAGCTCCTTGGGAGGCTGGGATGGATCACTTGAGCTCAGGAGGTCAAAGCTGCAATGAGCCATGATCATACCACCGCACGACAGCCTGGGTGACAGAGCAAGACCATCTCAAACACCACCACCAGAAACAAAGAGTCTTCATCCAGCCTGTCACCAGCTTAATATGCCCTACGAACTAAGAAATGGCTTTTACATGCTTAAGGATTGAAACCAACCAAAAGAACACTTCCTAACATAAAAATTATGGAAAATTCAAACGTTAGGTTACCAAGTTTTACTGAAACACAGCCAGACTAATTTGTTTAGGGCTTTCTATGACTTGTTTTGACAGAGACCACATGGCGTGCAAATCCTAAAATATTTACAATCTGGCCCTTTAGAAAATAAAGTATGGCGACCCTCAGTCTAGAGAATCAAATGAAGCCCATTCCGAAAAAACGGCTGGCAGATGCATCTCTTCCATCGACTTCTTTTCTGCCTCAGAAATCCTCTTACTTGCTGAAGTGAATTTTAGTTATATTTCACCATTTTTCAGATCAGCCACTAAAGCTGATTGTGAAGACAACTGTGACCTCTCTAAGTAAGCCTGCTATATCACCTAGAAGTGCAGGGCATGAGGCTCACGGCAAACTGCTGTGATTTTGGAAAACCAAAAGAATTATAAGAGTCTTAAAACAATGACAGGAGTGCCTAAAAATTCCTCACTCAACTAACCAGAAATCAGTTGCCTTGAATTTTTTAAAAAATTCTTTGTTAATTCCAGAACAGGTGAAATACAGCATACCTTATCTATATCTGCTTCAGATGCGTGGTATTGGCTGGGCACCGTGGCTCATGCCTAGAATCCCAGCACTTTGGGAGGACAAGGCAGGTGGATCTCAAGGTCAGGAGATCGAGACCATTCTGGCAATCAAGGTGAAACCCGTCTCTACTAAAAATACAAAAATTAACTGGGCATTTTGGTGCATGCCTGTAGTCCCAGCTACCCGGGAGGCTGAGGCAGGAGAATTGTTTGAACCCAGGAGGCAGAGATCACGCCACTGCCCTCTGGCCTGATGACAGCGAGACTCCATCTCAGAAAAAGAAAAAAAGATTAAACTACAGAGAAAATGTTCATATATGTTAATTTAAAAATATCCTGAAGGTTTAAGGGAAACAAGGTCTAGATGTGTTTTCTCCATTTTGTTAGAATGTGGAAACTTTACTTGACACACAAAGATACAGGTTTATATAATTCATTTCATCAAGGAGGCATGTCTGGCCCAAAACTGCATCCTTGTATACAAGGCAGGAATTGGTAGTTTTGCTTGTTGTTGTTTCATATGTGGAAGAACCATAGTAATGAAAGATGGATAATGACGCAGACATCTTTTCAATTAGCGTCAGAGACAGGCAGAGGACTGCTCTATCTACACAAGCCTTTATCTACCTACCACACGTGAGGCTATGTTGAAATAGGAGAAAAATATCCCTGCTGTTGATAAGGCAGCCCTGAGCCAAAGGGACAGACACATAAATCAAGACAGACCAGCAATGTGACTGTGCTTTTGATAGTGGAAATTAAATCTGACCATTAACCCTTTAATTCTCCGGATTCATCAAAGACGCCATTTGGAGTTCCTAACTTTGAAGTACAGAAATAGCTTCATCTGAACACAAACTTTGAGATACATGAAAAAAAAAAGCTATTATGCCAAATTAATTCAATCTAACTAATTAGCAGGAAGTTCCTTCAATTATTTTATGTGCTGTCTGAGAAACACACTTGAATATGAGTACAGATTTCATTAATTGCAGTTCATTATTTTCCAGATTAGTTACTAAACTTGCATCAGAAGGTCAAAGACAGCAATTTTGTCAGCTGCCACCTCTTTCAGCACAGTATTTTTGCATTTCTGGAACTCAGACAGAAATTGATTACAAACAAAAACAAATCTCCATAAAAATGAGAAAGGTAAGTCCTTATGAATATATTCAAACCAAAAGATCTTGTAAATTGTAAAAATATCTTTGTTTTTAAACCTTCTGAATAAACTGTTGACTTCTGTCTTACAAAAAAAGATCTAGGACCTCTTTAGATTCGTTTGATAAATACTATTAAAGTGG